ACACATAGTGGGCCTCTGGGACGTGTGACTTGCTCAGGCTGTATGCATAGTTCCAGGTTGTACACACCCCCTCCCTAGCTCCTAAGGCCCAATTTCCATAGGAGGTGATGGCCATGGATTTCTTCTTTTGAAAAGTTTGCTCTGAGGATCCCAGGGGTTGCTCCCTGAGAGGCAGCGATCTAGGGAGGAGGAGAGAGCTGTTATCTGTTCTCAGATTTCCAAAGGATTCTATGTCCTCAGAGACACAAGCCCTTATATCTCATCGTCACCCTCATCAACACCATCATCATTGTCATCATCATCATGTCATTGACTGAATGCTGACCCTAAGCCAAGAGAATGAAGACAATGAGATCAGCTGCCCCAGAAGGCTGCTGGGAGGACAGAGGAAGTGAGTATTTGCACGGCACTCTGGGAAGCACCTGGCACAAGGCAAACATTCTGTCCTCTTAAGTTCCGTCTCTGTTGCTATCATCCATGACCATTGCTTTCATCGGCTCATTAGTCTTCAGAGGCACTTCAGGAGGCGCAGATGATCATCACTCCCACTGTACAGGGCAGAAAACCTGGGCTTTGGGAGGTTAAATAAGGAGCTCTAGTCTGCAGAACAGCAGAGGAGGGAGGCAGGCAGGGCCTGGCTGGTTCCCAGGCACAGGCGGGCTCTTGGTCTGATGGTCTAAGGGAAGAAGACAGGAGGACTCCAGAGAGCCCTAGAGGGGGCTGGAGGGCAGAGCTGGGAGGGCAGAGCTGGCATGCAGTAGAGGGGAAGGAAGGCCTGGGCCTTTTGCTAACAGGGCAGGCAGTTCACCCTAACTTTGCACCCCGTTCCCCCACACTAATCAAGGACAGAAAGTGAAGCCACTTAAAATAAGGTGGATTAAAAAAGAAAACCACCCCCTACCATGGTCTAATCCACGGCTCCAAAGCGAATATCTCAGAGTACAATGTGTTCAAGTGGGAAGGAGCACCCAGGGCCTGCCCAGCACCCCGCTGGCTGAACTCCAAGCTACGATTTTCCTTGCAAACTAACATAACTGCTGAACAAACCACTTGAAAGCCAAAAGATGCCCTTTGGTTGCCAGAGTAATGTTGCACAGATAGAGCAGTTCCGACATGCATACACAAGCTTATTTAAGGGCCAGGTTGATGAAGTTGGTGGGGGAGAGCAGCGGGGTAGAGAGTGGAATGTCCATCACCAGAGATTTGACCCCCACAACATCGAAGTCAGATTGAAACAGGGCAACAGGCTCCTTACAAAGGAGCTGAAGCCGGGCTTGTTCTGGAAAGGAGGCTACTCTCTACCTTCCCATGGGCGTCAAGAGCCATGTCAGGGGGGCCAGGAGCTGGACAGTAAGAGTCACTGACACTGATGGAAGAGTGTCAAAGCACGAGTGCCCAGGACAGCACTCTGTGCCCCGGCACCTGGCTTCTCACCTAGTGGTGGGCGATTCTATGGTAGCACATAGCGGAGTCAGGAGAGCACTGCTCCAACCCCAGAATGAAAAGCTGCTCTATAAACCTCAAAGCTCCGCGCACATGCGCACATCAACAACCACTTCCAAGTGCACAGCGCTCCCCGCCCCAGCTTCTACGGCCCAGTTTCCACAGGAGGTGATGCCTTGCATTTCTTCCTTTAGAAAACTCTATTCCAAGGTCCTCTGGGGTTGCTTCCTGAGATGCAGCAATTAGGGGGGGTTGAAGAGTGCAGAAGACTTGTCCCAGGTGTGAAGGGACCTCCAGGCCCATGGGGACTCACATACCCTGGGTGTTTCCATGCCCCATTTTTCATGCCAGGCACAAGGCAAAGGCTGATGCTGTTGAGAGGAAAGAAGAGCTTCCCTTAGCACAGCTCATGGCCACTCAGGAAGGCCAGGGACCAGATGTCCTCAGAGCTTTCCTGTGAGATACATGGCATGCTCAGGTAAACAGATTCTGTGGAAATCGGTTTCACAGCTGCTTTGTCTGCTGGGAATCCTCTTCCATTTACCTGCTTCCTTGCTGAACCATCTCAGCTTCCCAGATTCTTCTCTTAGAAGTTATTCTTTTTTTTAAACAGAGTCTTGCTATGCAGTTCAGGCTGGCCTTGAGCTCACTCTGCAGCCCAGGCTGGTCTTGAATTTGCAATGATCCTCCTGCCTCAACCTCCTGAGTGCTGGGATTACAGGTGCATGCCACCACACAGAGCTCTAGAAGTCATTCTTAAGCCTCCCCTTGCTCTGGGGTGGAACAGGCCTCCAGCATGCCACGCCAGGTGTCCTCAGGAAAGGCTGTAATGTTCCACTGTTCTAAGCATTTTCTGGTCTCTTTCCCACTCGTCCAAGTGCCTTCAAGGCAGGGATCACATTGTGCTCACCTGGTCATTCACCCAGCCTAGTGTTTGTCACCTGTAGGCTCTCACTGACTGTTTGCTGATGGAATGGCCGCTATTATGCAAGGCCACATCCATTGGGTTTAGGTGTAGCTGCCCTGGTAACCATGAAGTCTGAGTCCTCAAGTGGCTGCTTGCAGTTTTCCATCCCCTGGAGGAAAACAGCGCTGGAACCAGGGCCTAGTGTTGCTGGAATGGAAGCTGGAGCTCCTGAACATCCTGGTGGGTGAGGAGCCATGAAGGGCAGAGGAGAAGGTGCCCTCCTTCCTTCCTGTCTTTCCTACCCACAGACCCACAGATGAAACAAGTGAGCACCCTTAGCACATCTGCTCTGAAACAAAGCTGCTTGTCCTTGGTTCCATGGTTAAGGCTCCTGGTAGAAGATGTCTTATCTATTTTCATAGACCTTTGTCACATTAAGTCCTTGTTGACAGCTTTCTTATCCTCCTAATAGGACACATTTTCCAAGTCCTCACCTTGTTGTATATCACCTTCCTTTTGCCAAAAGGATACTTACCTCTAAAGGAGCAATGACAACAAATGGCTGTCACTGGTCAACCTAAATAAAGACAAACTTGGATGCTGACCTCCTAGGAATGTAGAAATGGTAGCTGATAAGCTAAGCCACACTCTCAAATTGCACCTCCCATGAACAGAAACACCTTAATTCTGTGTTCCTGAGCACCCATGCACACACATACACACACACACACACACATGCACATTCTTCTAGCCAGAGCACCAGCCATAATTGTCTGTAAGAATCTTCTCTGTAACCCAGCAAATCCTGCCGTATGCATTTGCCACTGTTTTGCAAAGTATGGAAAAGGAATGGCCCATTCTTAGCAGCTCCCTCATTTCCTGCAGTATTAGAAGGACTGAGGTGGAAGTCCTGGGCTCACAGCCTGTATGCTGAACTGTTCTCTTCTAATTTACCACAAGATCCTGTCTGTTTTACCACCCATAAGCTGGAACTAATTACTGCAGATAATTATAGAATTTTACATTCCTGCATTCTAAATAAAAATACACCCTACGCACATATGAAGAACAATACTAATACAGTGAGAGTTTTGGAGAAACCACAAATTGCACTGTGGTTATATTTATGACATATTTGCATATGAAACTAAATTTGCAGAGAATCTGAGACAACAGTATTTTATAAACTTGAAAAACTTTAACAATGAGCCACATTTCTAACACAAGGTGCAGAAAACATAAATGCACCAAGCAGAATAAAAGATTGACTACCTTCACATGTCAGTCCTATGTATGCGTTATAATAAACTGAGACAAATGCTCCTATATCTATCCAGGAGAGAAATATTGCAGCTCTTTCCTATGAAGATATCACTGCATGTGCAAAATGCCTGCACTAAAATTAAGTCTTCTATCATCCACATTTTCTCAATTATTAATATACTAGACAGCTGCAGTAGCTCTACCAAAAATAGCAGCCCAGCTTTTCCAGAAGTCCAAGCAGCCATGAGATGTCTGCCGGAGACTTTTCTGTGTAAGGAGTAGTTGGTCTCTAGGTCAAATAAAAAGAAACAGAAACTCCAGCAGAACAACAAAAAGGAAAAGTTTGTTTTAGAATGTAAGCTGGAAAATGACTTCCCGAACCACGCCAACGTTTTATAATAAAACTGTTGTTGTGCACAGAAAAGCGTTGTCTGAAAAGCTCGCCTCTCTGGCCAACTCTTTGAGAAAGCAATTCAGAATATTAAGCAGTGAACCAAAGAATGCCAATCACTTTGGTATTTTCTGAAGTGAAGAAATTGTGCCTCCTGATAGAAGGGTAGGTTACGAAATAAATTACATCCGTTTTTGGAATTGGGGAAGCGATGAAGGTCCAACATAAACTTGCCTTAAGTTTCTGCCTTCATATTTTAAATAAGTATTAGTGTCATCGGAAGAAACCCTAATAATATATATTTTTACATAATTATTTATGCTGAAAAAAATGTTTGGAAGTGAAAAGCACTCAGAGAGTCACAATGGAATGTTTTTTGAACTCAGTGAGGATCACAAATTTGAAAGCAAAGATTCTGTGTAGCACAAGAAAAGAACAGATTTTGTCTTTGGCTGTTTTTAAAGCCATAGTATCATAGCTTAAATGCATCATACCAATAAGGACATCATCACCTGTCACCATGACTATGAGAAGGCTCCAATGCGATGATACAGTTCACATTTGCTGCCACCGTTCTGATGATTTCACATCATTCTAACCTTTAAAAGCAATCAGGTCATGTGGCCTGCTTCTGATGAGTGAAATACCATCACCTCATCTGAGCCTCAGCAACGCATACGAACAGTAATTATTCCGAGCCTTAGAGGGAGTGGAACCAGTCAGTTCACTGCATGTGTAAGTTTGTACCAGTTCTACATAATCTGTCCAAAAGCAAGGACAACAATTCATTTTTGCTATCTCACGGCCTCTGTAAAACTCCTAGCTATTTTTCAGCAAATGCCAACAAATGTCAGAGAAGCCGAGCATGGCTACTTGGAAATGCCTGCTAGGTTATTAATATAATAAAGCGCCTGGTATGAGTGTTTTTCACATGGTCAGTATCACTTACAGCAGGTTGCTAACAACACAAACACTCACCACCCAAGTACCACTCACCATTTGCGATCTGTTCTTCGGGCAGCCATTGATGTCTTCAATCTTTTCATTTGCTGCAAAATGAAATATAAGTCAGGAAAACAAGTCATCACCATAGACACACTTCCAGTCGTGATGGTCAGTATTCTCGGGGCCAGCAAAGTCCTGAGGCCCATGCTGGGGTCTGTCCAATCAACGCAGGCATGTGAAATCCTGACTCGCATCTAGCAAGCTTCGGGACTTACTCATCAAGCTGCCATCCTCCAGGGACAGCTGGGGCAAGGTCGTCATCACTTAAAACAGAGACAACTGCGTTGATGACTGTCTTCCAGTGACAGGGCAACGTGGCAATGTCTGAAGACTCAACAGGATCTCTAAGTCATTTTACACTCTCCGGCACACATCACTGCACTCTTCCCAAGGGAAGACGGGATAATGTAGGGGGATCAGTCCCGTCATGACCGGGGACAGAAGCAAAAATGAAAGCAGCTCACTGCATCTTTAGCCAGAAGTACAACTATTGTTTTTGTGTGTCCTAATACTATTCCCAAAGCAGTGGTAAATGGGAGAAATGAGAGAGAGAGAGAGAGAGACAGACAGACAGACAGACACACATAGAGAATAAAAAATGCCTTGGCTAAGGCTATCTAGTGAGTCCAAAATATATACAGAATTGCATCAAAATAGTACTTAGTTGCTGAAAGACAGAACAAAAAAGGTTGCATTGAATTTAGAAGAAACAAAGCATTAAATAGGAGGAAGTGTGAGCACAGTTCACAGTGGTATGGAGCGATCCCCTACCGGACACAGCACAGGGGCTCTCTGGAGATGTGAAGTTTGAGAGTGCAGATAGGCAAGAAAAGCCGGTGCATGGCAGAGAGAGGGCTGGCACTGGATAAAAAGATACCCAGCTTGAGTCCCAGGTCTAGACCCACATCACTCAACCTCTCTGGGCCTCAGTTTCCTCATCTACACAGTGAAGCTAATGTGACCTGTCACGCAGGAGCGATAAGAATTAGGGGAAATGACAGCAGGAGAACATGCAGCACGGTGTTTGGCACACAGTAGGTGCGCTCTGATACCACTAATCTAATAGTGAAAACACTTTTATCATCTTTGGAAAACATATAGGAGAAATATTTTCTTTTTGATGTCTCCCTGTGAGTTAAGCTCAGGAACTCAGCTAGGACTCTATAGGGAAAATAAAGATTTGTGTCCTCCGAAGCCATTGTAAACTTGCTCTCCACACCCACGCCCCTGTGTCCCACACCCTAGCCACGGAGGATGAGACACCCACGGGGCTCGTTTCACAGCACCCAGAGCTGCCTGTCTGTGCTCTGAGCCATTTGAGATGTAGCACCCCCTGATCTTGTCTCCCCAACAAGATTGTGAGAGCTGGAAAACATGTCTCATTTACTTTCACATTTGTTTCCTTAGAGTTCAGTAACTGCTTACAAAATGGAAGATCTCAACCCCTCCCCCATCACATCAGATTCTTATGAATATAAAGGATCAGACTGCCATGGGAAGGCATTAAAAACTGTCTGAAATGGGTAACAGAATCAGAGTATCCCAAGACTCCAACATTGTAGAACACCTGAGCCTTAATACAGCTTGCCATGATCTCAAATTGAGTTTATTTTTTTTCCTCTAGTATTTCTACCCAGAGAGAAAGCATAAAATAAGAAAGCGAGCTAGTGGCAGTGAATTGCATAAAAATCTAACTGCCTGGTTAGTATATATTCAGCTTGATCTCTACTGTCTTTAGCACCTGCCAAAAGTACTTGACATTCACATTTATGACCCAACTGGGAACTCCCAAGCTTTGAGACTCAAATGAGCTTTCTCAATTCGGCTTAATGTAACAATCTGGGGTGAGACAGGAATTTTATTCTCAAAGGAAGTCTCTAAAGCACATAAAATATGGCAATGGGCTTGGATTCTAGCACAGTGGTAAAGTGCTTGCCCAGCATGCACAAGGTGCTGGATTTCATCCTCCGTGGAGATACAGGAACACCCTTGATAAACAGCATTTCTCTATCCATGGGAAATTCTGGTGGGTGTGAACTCTCACCTTGGACCCTGATAACACAATATTGCAGAAAATAAACAAGTGGTTCTTAAGGTATCTTAAGATATCAAGGTATCTTTCAACTGGATGCTCATTGAGGTCAAGGTCGTAAGTCGATTGATTCTGATCAGTCCTAGTTCAGTGCTGGGTCATTAACATTCATTGCAGGCAGGAAGCATAGCTGCAATCCTAAGACAATATCTGGGAAATTTGGAAGATTCTTCATGTACCATCTGGATAAATGATGGCTCCTTCTAATTACTCTCTTGTCTCCTAAATTCAGTCAGGTGCTCTGTGAATTGAAACACTGTAGCTCAGTGCTCTGTTTTACAACAGTCAAAATAAACCACAGGGGTAGAGCCTACTCAAGACCACTCCAAAAGGAGCACAGGAAGCCAGAAATCAAACGGCTAACCCAAAAGCAAACTAAATGCTTAATAAAAAATGCAAACTAAATCATGGGCCTCCTCGATCCTAATTTCATATAACTTAAATGCCTTTTCCTTTACTTAAATTCCCAAGAATTCCTATGGCTGTCATAAATACTTAGGGCACTAACAGCAGCTCTGATTCTGTGGATAAAAATGAAGAGCTGGCTCCTCAGAGCCAAATTTTTTAACTCAGGGTAGTGTGTCTTTGGCTGAACCCCAAACGCAGATAATCAAAGGAGCAAAGGCTATCTGTCCCCAGAGTCCTCAACTGTGATTAAAAATGGCATTTCTAAGAGCAAATGGCAATTTATCCAAGCACATTCAAGACATTCTTAGCCTGCTAATGCAGTGAGCTGTCTGCACACAAGGTGACACGTTCATGACAGAAAGCATCCCCACATTTCTTAAACACGAACAGCGACACCAATCTCATTACTTTTTGAAGACCTCCCTCAAAGGACTTGGAGCATTGCAGCGGCCTGTGTATCTACCTCGTCATCATCCATGGGGAGAGAGGCACTGGTAGTCCATAAGGACACACGACTCACTTGAGATCACACAATGGTGGCAGGTCACTGATGAGAGACAGTATGGACCCATATGTGGAGGGTAACGTCTCTCCCACTTCCCTCTCTGTTTCTTTCCAACTCTCACTTGTTCATCCATTTGCCTTCCTTTCCCTCTTCCTTCTCTTCTCTCTCCCATGTCCTCCTTTCTGTCCTCCACCCCGCTTCTGGCATCTTCCCTGAATGACCTCAGTGTGAGTGGGAAGTGTCTCCTGCCTTTACATTGTGTGTCCTGGCCTTGTGTATGTTCCTAATAATTCCTGGGAATGCCACTGCGATGGCCTGGCTCACATCTCAAGAAGATAATCACAGTAACAAGAGGCTGAGTGCAGAGATGCAGCCCCCAGCCACCAAAAGACAGGCACTCAAAGACAGCACGGGGAGAGGCCCATTTCCCATCTATGGGCAGAGAGCAGCAGCAGGAAAAGTGTGTGAGCCCCAGGTAAACTCTGCCCTCTAGGAAAGCCACCTAGAAGGTGTGCAGGGCAGATAAAGACTTAGGGGCAGCATATGGGAGAAGCACTTAAGGTTTTCCTTGAAGTCACACATCTGATGCCACTTACCAATGTAGAAATCACCTGGACCCTCAGGCAAAAGCTCTGAATTCATTGACTCTCCGACTCTCCCCTCCAGCCTTTCTGAACACTGTCTAATCCACCAGGGATGCCTTCCCTGTCTGCCAGGCCCAGAGAGCTCCTACTGCAGAGTGAATTCCTCATCGACCCCTTCCCCTTCCCTTGCATCCCACCTTCCTGCTCCATGATCCATCATGGGCAGGACTGGTGGAGCACGGGGCTTTGACCATCATACACGATGCTCATGAGAGAGATTGTCCCTCAGGAGGAGTCACCTTGCTACCTGCCTTCATTTACATGTTTTCGCTTCAACTTTCTATTCTGAGGTACTCCAACTCACTTAAGGAGAAGTGATAGGACTGGAATGTGGGTTTCCTATATACCTTGGTCCATTCTTATTTTCTCTCTCCCTCTGCCCCCTCCCTCCTGGTGCCTGGTTAGGTCCACAGGTAATGTTTCTTTTCTGAATCATTCCCGAGTAAGCTACATACATCATGTCCTTTGCCCTTTACCTTTCAGTGTGCATCACCTCCCTTTTGCACAAATGCATTATCTCTCTTGGTACAACTACAGGGTTTAGAAAATCTAACACTGACACAATACCAATATTTCAGTTTTGCCAACTGACTTAAAAACATTCTTTGCAGCTTTGTATTACCTGGTACAGGATGAAGTTCAGGGTTGCACAATGTATTTGGTTGGCATGTCTTTAGTTTCCTTTATTCCAGGAGGGCTTTTCAGGTTTTGTCTTTCATGACATTGCTGCCTTAGAACAACACAAGCCAATTTTTTTTAATAGAATGGCTTTGCCTGAGACTCCTCATGATTGATTAGTTTTAGGTTTTCCATCTCTAATGCTGTGTCCACTGAGGAGATCACCTCAGAAAATACATGACCTCCATTTATCCCTTACCAGCAGTGGAAACTGGGTCACCTGATCAGGAGGTGGCCCAGATAGTCGTCTTAATGGTTATCCTATTTCCCTTCACAACTAACAAGCAACCAGTGGAGAGAGGCTTGGAGACCATACACATGCCAGGAAAGGTATCAGAGAGAAACAGCTTTTGAGAATGAATAGTAGCTCACCAGCCAAAGGGCAAGTAGACTCAATAGGACTCTAATTCTGCAAAAAAAAAAAAATTTTATACAGCTAGAGTTATGCAGGTGTCTATATACAAAGCATACATATACATATTGAGTACTGGTGCACATACAGATATACCTTTGACCGTATTCTCTTGATGAGTACACATACAGGGGAAAGGAATGGAGGTCAACAGTTTGGCTTTCTGATCAGAAAATGTGCTTCTTCCCCAGGGGCTTTTCACTCACAGGCTACCCTACATCAGATGCTCTGAACTAGCCGATAGACTGAGGGTCAATTTGTTGCTTTCTTAGTATTCTGTGTTGTGCAGCCTGCACTACTGATATAGGACAAGCATTTTTAATCCAAAAATCTAAAATCTGCCAAAATCTGAAACTTTTGGGGGGCAATATTGGGAATTAAAATCTGGGTTTCCACACTGGTCTGCATCTCTGGTGTTGGGATTTGGGGCCTGATCCACCCAGCCCAGCTCAAAATCTGAAACTTTTTGAGCACTCACTTGACACTGTAGGTGGAAAATTCACCATGGAACTTCTGTTTCAGGAACAAAATTATTTAAAATAGTATAAATTTACCCTTCGTCTGTATGTATATGATACTTGTGAAACATAAAAGAATATGATGTTTAAACTTGAACATCCCCAAGATAGCTCATTCTGTGTATGCAAGTTATCTGAAAGAAGTCTGAAATCGGGAATAATTTTGCTCCAAGCATTTTGAATAAGGGATACACAACTGGCCCCATTCTGAGCCCCTGGAAGCACAAAAAAGTAGCTTGGGCTCCAGGAAGTGTCTCTTGTGTGAACAGAAACAAGGAAACATCCCTTTGAGCAGTGACAAAAACATGCCCACCCATATCTCCATGGCACACATTCAATAAATTTCCAGTGTGGCCAAGGCAGACATGACTAGTCTATCACAGCACACACTGACATGGACACTGAGACCTTCTCCTCCTTTTGCTCTTGCCTTCTGAGGCAGCTGCTCCTGACTGCTACCCAAGAACACACCACACTTTCCAACCTACTGCATATTTGATAGCTAACTTGAATTTCATGAGCCTGCCATCGCAGCAACTGTGAAGGCTTCTGCTCACTCTTGAAGGACAGGCAACTACTTCACAACAGCACATGCTAGAGGGGCTGGAGTTTCTGCTTCTCCCTGTGCCTTGGTCTTGGCATGAGTCTGCTGCCGGCAACAACAGTCAGTCTAATGCTCTCTAATTGGTCTCCCGCCTCCTCCTCTGCTCTGAGTTCTCAGGCAGGACCAAGGAGTTTGTCCCTCAGGCTCAGGGCACAGCTCTGACCAGCACCCACTTGCCTATTTACCCAGTAGGAAGGGAACCGTCTCTTCCCACCTCCTGGCTGAGGCATTAAAAATCCCACTTCCCTTGGATTAAAACTAGAACTGACCAACTCTGTAGTTCTAACCTTTGCTTTCTCAGACCAATTAACTGGAAAGATTAAACCACTAACTGTTAATCTGTCTATCTATATCTGTCTGTCTGTCTCTCTATTTCTAGTCATCCACAAAAAAGTAGCATCAGCAGGGAAAAAGGAGAACCAGAAAGACAGTAGGAGACAAAAGGGTGGCAGGGCATCCCACCTCCAAATCATAGGTGTTTTCCTCTGTCCGGGGCTGTCTTTCCTCTAAGAGGATCATGGTAAGATTGCTGGGTCTGTGATCCTAATGGGAAAAGGAAGTTGTCCCCACGCGCATGGCTGTCCACATACAGGACAAAAACACTGCGTCTACTTTGAGACTTCAGTCTTCTCTCGGCCCATGCCACCCCGCTGGCTGGCTCTGTTGTGACTCATCAGCCCTCAAGGAAAAGTATCCTCTTACCCACGACCTGGATGATCTGAGCCAGGAGGACACCATCGGTCACATCTTGCTGGAGATCCTTGATGAGACGTTTGTGGCCAGATTTGGCCAGATAATGATTGGCCCAGTCCGTGTAGATCTGTAAAAGAGCAAACAGGCAACTTCAGGAATCTAGCTGGAGCCCATCGCAGAGTCTGAGGCAGCTGCTGGGCAGGGGCTTGGGCGCAGCAGCCCCTGGGAGCTTTCGGGGACCAGCCGCCACCATTAAAATTCAGTGCATTGTGCAGACCAGGCATTCAGCTCACCATGGCTGGGCCGTCGCCTATTGAGAGAGCTGCCGTCAAAGCTGGGGAAAAGCTAAAGAAAGCTTCAAAACATGCAGGACCTGAAAGGGACAGGAGACAAGGAACTAAACAGTCTGCTCCAGCCGGCTTTGAGAGGCTGTGGCTCTAAACACAGGCGAAGTCTCCCCCCACCCTTTCACATCTTTTTCTCTTTATGGGGAAACCATATGGAGAGGTTACCACCCAACGGGCATCTTTTAATGAGTCTCTCAGGGTAAGGAGGGCTATTGAGCCAGCCAAGTTCTCAGGAGCTTGGGTCCCTTGCAAAGAAGCCAAGTAGGAAAACACACAGCACCTTCAATTACTCTTGTGTGAGTAGAGGTATTGATGGTCTCACCATAATCTCAAATTTAATCGGTTTAATTCAAAAGCCAGGCATCATTTCCTCTGTTGGGATTCTCTAAACAAAACCTAGCAAATTCCAACATTTTTAAACACAACATCTGTGTACAGACACCCCAGAAGGCAAAAGCTGGGTCACCTGTGGAATCGAGAGAGCAGACCCACCCCAGGGGAACACATCAGACCTGTGCTTCTTGGTCACAAAATCATGAAAGTAAAGGAAGATTTGTTTCCAAGCAGGCCAACAAGCACAAGAAAACCTTGGTCTAAAAACTTTTCTCCCCAGCTGTCAAAGTCACAGACAACAGAACAAAGCAGAACACTTTCCATCAAATTTGAATGCTAACTTTCATGTGTAGATTTCTGAGTTCAAAGGGCAGGTGGGAGTATGCGGAGGGAGCCATGATCAATGATAGGAACAAATCAGTGAACAAAAAGGAGAAAACAGGAACTGCCTCCCTCACATGGTCAGAAATAATAGCTCCATATAGCAATCCACATGCCACCTGCACCAAAAAGGTGAGATGCTTGTTCTGAGTATCCACATGACTTACAGACCATGGGAAACTTCTCTCCCTGGCTCCTGCCCTACGTGCCTTCTTCCTCAGGGTGATTTTACACAATAGGGTGCTGCCCCACAAGGCTCCTGCAGTGGGGCCAGGAGCCAGATCTTTCTAGGAGGTAGCATTTCTGGCTATTCCTCCTGGGAAGGGGTCCCAAGAAGTGACAAGACAGAGCAGCACATTACAGCTCAGAGACATAAGTGACATCTCCTGTGTGTCCCTCCATCCCACCTAGAAGGTCCACAAGGTCCCACAGAGGAAGAAGCACACTCATAAGTGGGTCCTATTTCACACCTCAGCCCAAACCCATAGGAGGTTCTTCTCCCCGACTCCCAAGTTGTCAAAGACCAAAATACCTAGCAAATCACTGATACCTTCAATTTGAAAAGCACAGAGCAAGATAAGGAGGTGGAAGGCCACCTTGATAACTACAATGGCCAGCCTGAAATTTAAAGGATCACTAAATAAAATTGTGAAGAGAAGGAGAGAGAAAAGGAGGAAAACATTCAGGAAAAGGGACAGACCCGGGTGCAGCTTCAGTTCTGCAGGTCCCTAAGAGTAGGGATTTGGGTCCATTTTGTTTGGTGACATATCCCAAGCACCTACAACCTCAAAAGCACATTACGGCTTCTCAATGTACACTTGTGGTTTATGTCTGGATGTTCTCCCAAAACCTCATGTGCTCAAGGGTGGGACTTTTGGAAAGTGGTTGAATTATGGTGCTTAATCCTCACTTGCTGACAGGAGGTGGGGTCTGGTTAGAAGAGGTGGGTCACTGTGGATATGACCTGGAAGGACTTGTCTCCCTTCCCAGCACCCCCCTGATCCCTCATCTGCTTCCTGGATGCATGATATGAGCAGCTTTTCCCCCAGTATGCTGGTTTTTGGGTCCAGCCAACCATGTACTAAAACCATGAGCAAAAATAAATCTCTGTTCCTTTAAGCTGTGGGTGTTGGGCTTGGTGTTCTAAACAATGAACAAAGACAATACTCAAGGATGAATGCATGGATGACCTCAGGTTTCCTACTAAACCTCTCTGAGGCTGTTTTCTTAGCTATACAATGAAATCAATGCTATTTACTTGTCAGTTATTAAAAGGACTGAGTGATACAACAAATTTGGATAAAAAGTGATTTACATACAACCAGGTCTTGCCAGCGAACATGGAATGCCTATTGCATACCGTGTGCTGGTCTAACCATTTTACACGTATGACTCCCTTATCCTCATTCTATGCTACTATTTTGTGTTCACTTTCCAGAAGCGAAAATTGAGATGCAGAGAAGCAAAATAACTTGCTTCCGGAATCCCTGAGATATTCTGTGACATTGTACTGTGCTCTCACTCAAAGAATTAAAATTCAAACATCAAAATCCAAACCTAGCTCAATACCTTGCTATCTGCATGCCCTGGAGAAGTCCCCAACTCTTATTGGCTTTGGTTTAGTTGCCTGTGAAATGGGTACAAAGAAGCCTACCTTCAAAGATGGTGGTGGAGACTCGGGGAGGGATGGTATGGAATTCCTGGTGTGACCTGCATCGGGGCTCAGGAAGTGGGCACAGGGCCGGAAGGCGGCAAGGAAGAAGAATGTGAACTGGATTTGCTCTTGGCTGCAGTGTTGTTAACTGCCACTGTGCCCTTTGGCTAAGATGCCCTCATCTGCAAGATTGTTAATGACAATGCCTATATCCCTGGGCTATTATGAAGATGCAGTGACATCACGGACAGAAAGGACACAGGATCCTGGCAAAAGTTCAGCAAGTAAGAGCTAACATTAGATATTTTACTACCATCATTAAAGCAGCCATAACAAAACCTGCCACAGCCCTTACCCTGAATCCCTAGGACACAGATGATTCAAGAGTTCTCCTACTCATGGTAAAATGTCAAGAGTTTGGAAAATCTTCCACTTGGAATCACAAAGTATGGCAGGGTGTAAAAGAAAAGCAGGTTGGAAACTGGCCAGGCTGGCACACAGAGCAGGGCTTCGACTTGCCAACTGGGAGGAGCTGTGCCCACACTGCTCTGTGAAACCTCAGAGGGATCTCACCGGTCACACGGAACCCAAAGAACAGCCCAAGTGTAGAGCTATGCACAACAGGAACACAGCTGAGTGGGAAGCAGAGCTCAGTAAGCATACAGTGCAGTGGAGGCTCCAGTCCTCTCTCTTCCTAGCAATTAGAGGGTTTTTCAAATGCACATGCCATCTCTAAAACCAGCTCTCTATGTGAGTCTGCACAGTACAGCTGGAAAGCAAGGTTAAATCAACACCTTTTAACAAGTATATACACATTCACACACATACACACACACACACACAGATATGTACACATGCACACAGCATGAAATCATGGTAATGCCAAGCAAGTATCAAGTAACAAAGAGAACTTTTAAAGTCTACAGGAAGCAGCCTCTTTGCTCTGAAACAAGTATTCCTCGCTCAACTCTCACCTACCAGCGCAGTGTGTTGGCACAACACCAGTAATCTCAGCACTTTTTCTCACCTACCAGCACAATGTGTTGGCACAACACGGGTAATCTCAGCACTTTGGAGGCTGAGGCAAAAAGATTCTCTCAAATTCAAGACCAATCTGTGCTTCATAGTGAATTCAAAGCCACCCTGAACTGCACAGCGAAACCGTGTCTCAAAAAAATAAACAAATATATTAAAAACTCCACCCCCCCAAAAAAACACCCTTCAACCTATTTATCTACTACCACTGCCAAATAAATCTTCCCAGATCTCAGCTTTAATCAAACTGTACTCAATCATCAGTGGCTTCCCCCTCCCCAGTGAATCAGAGGCAAACTTTTCATACTGTGACTCAAGGTGGTCCCTCTGTTGGCTCTTTCCCAGAAAGCACCTGACCTTTCCAAGGAACACTGTGTGGGGGAGGTAAAAACAGTCTGACCCTTGGCTCTAGACAAGTTAATGTCTCATAATCTTTCTACTCCTCAATTTTGTCCTCTATAAATGGGGATCATATTAAATATAAGAAAGAGGCAGCAGTGTTGACCCGGGCTAATGCCAGCTGACCGCCTGTTTTTGTAAACCTCCATGCAAAGCAATCCCATCCATTTTCGGTCTCCGGCCACTTTTATGCCCCCAGAGCAAAGCTGAGCATTTGTGATAGAGACCTTCAGCCCACAAAACCTCAAATATTTCTCAAATATTTACTATCCAGCTCTTCCCACGAAACCGGTCTGGGTTTCTAAGGAGTAAACAGGTCAGCCTGCATACACACAGCAAGCGCTCGACAGCAGTGATCATACTTGCCCTCTGTAAAAGTCACACCCTGTGATCCTTGAACTGAAGCTACTCCCGTCTCACTGAGTGCCCCACCTGGGGATCCCCCTCCTCAAATCATAAAGTCACTGTTCATTTCCTGATGGACTCTTCTGCTCCCTATAACACAGAGCTTGTAGAGAACTTAGACATGGGCACCACTGCCGCATCCCCACTGCCACATGTAGGCAGAGATCGAGTCTTTCCAAGTTGTGCATTCCTGGCAGCACCTCCCAGGGAAGCTGGCATGTGGCAGGAGGTTTGTAAGTACCAGGCTAAACAGAACAGCAAGAAGAAGGGCAAGCCTTGGGAACCTGATGACATGTGAAGCTGATATTAGGAAGGCTCTTGGTGAGTCTTCAAATCAGATTCTATGGATTGAGAAGAGATGGAAGCAAGGCGAATAAACAACCTTAGAGCACCCAGCCCATTAATCAGGATCCATCTACCAAAGATCATTAATTATCGGGTTTCTCTGCCCTTCTCCTGTCTCCAGCATTTGACTTTTTCAAGACATGAATCACAACACCCTAATTTATTTTTAAACCTGTTTTTGGGAGCCATGATAAGCACAGACATAAATTCAGTCCCACTTCTAGCACT